CAATGGCTTGTGGTTGCAGCTAGGTGGCTGCGGCCGGCATTACGTGACTCTCTGAGTGACAAACGCTAAAGTTTGTCTTAAAAAAAGATCGCTGAACAATAATGACTTCATCAGTACTAAAAAAAACTGCCGACTTGGTGGTTTTGCTTTACAGGAGCATAAACTAATGAGGAATATGTCGATCTATAATCCAGGCCTGGTCATATTCCAGTTTTGCTTCACACTAGCCTAGTCTTATCATCTCTGAATGGAGACTATGATTACTCAACCTCCTCAGCCCATTTTGATTATAAAATCCCATTATTCAGTGTTGGTGACTCTAAGAAACCGTACAGACTGTGAGACCCAAAGCAAGTTCTATTTAAAGAGTTTCTTCAAAGAAAAACATGACCTCTATTAAAACTAAATAAATGTATTATTTATCTACAGGTGTTTCTCTTCTTAATTAGAATCTCGACTCATGACTTAGCTTATGTGTGTTGTGTACAGAACTGAAAATACTGACACAATAACATTGGCCAGTTCATATTACATCAAATAAATGGCGGATACATGAAGAGCCCATTTTAAAAGAACCCCATTCTAATGTTTTTGCAAATAATACTGCTGGCAATAGCCTAGCTCAAAGACCTGAGCCATTAGGACAGGATCCATTTCTTCTAACTCACACCATGTTGTGTTTCCTTTCAATGGCATCCTTACCTCACTCTCAGCCTGTCATTTCCTGAGCCTGAAGCTAGAAATTAGGTGCCAGCACTGCAGGTGGTGTGTGTAAGCACCCTGACTCTCTCTACTTGTAGGTCAGTGTGGTCAAACATCTATGGCCCTGGGCTGGGAGCTGTGGCTGCAGGGTGACCAGACATGCACAGTCCTGATGTAAAAATAGTTATGAACTCAGCCAAATGTGTAGAGTGCTGTTAACAGAGATGAGAGGGTGGATGATTGCGATTAGAGGGTGAGGGAGGGCCTCCCTGAGGAAGTGACCCTTGTACCAACTTCTGATAGACGAGCAGAAACTAAAGAATATGGTCAGAAATTTTTCAAGGCTGTGAAAATGCGCTCTTCAAAGCCCTAAGGCAGGAAATTGGGTGTGTGTGTGTCAGAAGGGAGGGTCAGGGCAGGGGTAGATAACAAGGAAGCCAGGGTGGATGGAAGTTAAAATGGGAAAGGGGCCCAAGAGGGAGCTGGATTGGGGGTTTTATTAAATGCAATGGGAAACTGCAGAAGAACTTTAAACAGAGACATGATCTTATTTGCTGTGATAACACAACATCCCGTCATTAGCTAAGGGCACATTGGTGAGCCCAAATCCCCACTTCCAGTGGAGAAAGGCGTTAGGGGAGAAAAGATCAGTCAGGCCTTGCTGGAGTCCAGGCAAGAGGATAGGAGCTATAGTAGGGATGGGAGAAGTGGACGGATTCCAAACTAGAATTTGAGGTGAAAACTCATGTAACTTGGTGATGGATTGGGGGTGGTGAGAAGGGTTCTGTCAAGACTGACTCTCATCTTTCTTGGTTCTGATGTAAATGAATCACAACAAATTTGAACGCCTCATCCTTTCCCTCTCCTGGCAACGTCATCCCTCTTTATACTGCTTTTTATTCAAGTACCTTCTCCCGAGGTCAAAGCACGGTGATTGCACAGACTCCGAGATAACACCAGGGCCTCTACCCTGCGAGGCTGCAAAGATTAAAGTTACAAACAGGTTCAGGATCAGTTCAAATACTTCTCCCGTATTTTTGCTGTGAGAATGCTTTGCACATCAAATACTAAGATTATAGGAAAAATTTGTCCACAAGCCACTTTGTCATACTAGAATTATCTGAGAGATGAATTTTTAAAATGTGGTTTTAATTGTTTTAGCCTAAGGATGTTTCTATTTAACTTTTCCTCTATAAAAGTATATAAATGAACTAGAAAGAATAAAAAGGAGCCAAACTATTGTTTTGGAAAATCTTCAAATCTATATTTAAAATAATCTAATATTATGGATTAAGAATTCAAAATAATCTAAAAATCCATGCTCTAAAACCAAGAAAAGTTCCCTGACGTAACTGCTGCTCAATTTTTCCCCTTCTATTATATGTAGATTTGGTAGTACATTTCTCTTAAAAAAAAAGCAAGCTGTCTCATGAATGTTACTATCTTCAAGTTCCTCCTACATTTGAATTCAAAATGTGATTGAATGAACTTAAAATTTTAATGTATTGATTGATTTTAGATAGTGAGGGGGAGGAGAGAGGAAGAGAGACGACTTGTTGCTCCACTTATTTAGGCCTCCGTTGGCTGATTCCCGTCTGCCCACACCAGGGATCAAAGCCACACCTTGGTCTAGCGGGAAGATGCTCTAACCAACTAAGCTACCTGATCAGGGCTGAATGAGCTTTAAATAATTTCCTAATATGTTTTTAAAAAGCATGCTTATACTGTATATAAATATATTCCAGTCAACAAGTTTTTGATGCTTAATTACATGTGAAAGAACATGAAAGCAAGATAAACTATCGCAATTACATTCCAGCTTCTTTTAGGGGTCGTTCTTTGATACTTGCTGTTTACAAAAGGCTGACAGCAGAGAATTTTAAAGAGGTTATTCCTGTAAGCCTATTTACAAAATTAAGTTTTCTTTCAATTCTTACAAATTTAGGCTTATTTTGGTTTGGAAACGGAGGATGAAAACTTACCTCAATACTCACAAATTAAAGTAGCAAAAACAAAAATCTGCCTTAAATATAAAATATCGTCAGAAGTTGGATAGAACGGCTCACTTACAGAGGTTCAAATTACTTAAGACATTTTCACTGTAGTAGTAACTTTCATCTAATTGATAAATTTCAATCAAGCTTTAAATCAATGGTAAAATACTAACATTATTAATACAGCAGTTATTGTGTTTTCCAGGAGAAAGACTATATAACTTTTACTGTTGTTTTACGTAAAAAGTTTATTACATGCTGAAATTTTAGGCGCAAACCCTCAATTTTAGTCAATAAGGTTCTATTACATTAAGTGGATCATATGTAAAGAGAAAGCCAGCTGAGAGTTTTGGAAGTCCGGTGACAGTAAGCCCGTCCGGTGGAAGCAGTGTAGTTGGGTATCTCCCAGCCCTGCACCGTAGTTCTGGCTCTGCCTTTTACTCTGTGGCCTTGGGCAATGGACTTCACCTGTTTGGGCTTCAATGTTCTCATCTCATCTCGTCATGATATTACTTACCTCACAGGAATGCCATGAAGATTAAGGAAGATGTGCTTCAAATAGGTTACAGGTGTGTCCTAGGCAGTGCTTCCCAACACGCTCCAGATGCGAGTTGTTGTGGTCTGAGTCGTGTCCATAAACAGTGTCCTAACCCTCAGTCCCTCAGAATGTGACTGTATTTGGAGACAGGGACTTTAAAGAAGTAATTAAGTGTAAATGTGGTCATTAGGGTGGGCGTTAATCCAATATGACTGGTATCCTTATTAGGTGAAGACAAAACACACACCAAGAGGACCATGTGAAGACACAGGGAGGAACGGAGGGTCAGGAGGCCTCAGAGGCAGCTCATCCGGCGAACACCTTGATCTAAGACTTCTAGCCTCCAGAATTGGGAGAAATAAATTTGGTTTTTAAATCACCCTGTAGTATTTGTGATGGCTGTCCCAGCAAACTGATATGCCAATCATGGCCAGGGGTGACGGGAGTCCCCTAACTGCAGGGCGCTAAATAAAGCCTACTTTTTGTGGGCGTGACATGGAAGAAATTTGAAATATTAAAACAATTATTTAGACCCAATGTACCCAGCTTTGTCCCTGGCCTATAGTACTCAATATGTAGCAAAAATTATTATTCCAATTTATGAAAATCTAGATGTAAGCATCTAACATGAGAGTCTCTCATTCCTCATCATTATTTAACTGGTTGCTCACAAAACTTCAAAGAACCAACTGCAGAAAGTACAGAGTAGAGGTAGAAAAAGGTGTTTCAAGAAACAGGCAAGCACAAGAATAACATTTTCATGACCAGAGCTCTAGTCTTCCCAAGGACAGACCTCTACTGAGGGAAAACCAGATTCACCTTTGAAAGTGATGAGGTATTTTCAGTAGTCCAAAAGCTTAAAATTCTATTATTTCCTAAGAAGTACAATTTGATTTTCTGTACTTTAGACAATTAAAAAAGTTATACTAGTAAAAATGAGTTGTGAAATACTGAGTCAGCCAAATTCTCAAAGACACACAAGGAATGTTGTTAATGTACATGACATTTCCTTTGGGTACAGTCACTGAACTTTAAAATTCTGGATTTCATTCAAAGGAGCAGAATGTGTATTTGAGACATAGAAGAAAGGCTAGGTTTACAACAGCTATAATTTTCTCATTTCCCTTTCAGAGCTTGTGAAATAACCCAGAACTCTTCCAGAAGATATTTTTATGGCTGAGACTGGCTCTCTAGCTAGAAACAGGTAGGCCTGTGTTGTACAATGGAGCCACTGGCCACATTTGGCTATCAAGGACTCACAGTGTTGCCCTGGCTGGTGCAGCTCAGTGGACTGAGCGCCGACCTGTGCGCCAAAAGGTCGCTAGTCTGATTCCCAGTCAGGGCACGTGCCTGGGTTGTGGGCCAGGTTCCCACTTGGGGGTGCATGTGTGTGGCAACCAATAGTTTCCCTCTCCTTCTCTGTCCCTTCCTCTCTAAAAGTAAATAAATAAAATCTTAGAAAAAGAATCTCACAATGTCATTAGTGTGACCATAGAACTGGGTTTGAATTTTAATTAATTTTAATATATTTTAAAAACCGACACTCATTTCAGTTATTGAAAAACAAGGTATGTCCGCAACTACTTGAATATATAGTTTCAACTGTAAATTGCATGAACTCTAAATAAAGGTCAAGCATGTCCAATAAACATTAGCATCCAAACTGAGTGTCAGTAAGTATATAATATACAATAATTTTGAAGACTTCATATGCAAATGATGTAAAATATCTTTAATACATTTTTATATTGATTACATGTTGAAATGATACTATTTTGCAAATGTTGGATTAAATAAACTATTTTATTAAACTTAATTTCATTCACCTCTTTGTTTTATTTCTGGCTACTAGAAATTTAAAATTACACATGTGGTTCACATTAAATTTCTTAGCAGAGAGGTAGACTGTCATAAAGCTAAATGTGACTTAAAAACAGTCATATGACTGACCATATATCTACAGCGAGTAGTTCAAAATTCATTTACTGGGTTGGCCGAAAAGTCCGTTTAGTTTTTTCCATTAAAAAAAGACACATTTTTCACTTTCACTGATAACTTTATTCATTTGGATATTCTGAGGCTGTCAGCTATCTCCCAATATTGGTTTTTAGTGGGCAGATGCCGGGGTGCTGCTAAACATCTTCCAATGCATAAAACAGCCTCACAGCAAAGAAGTATTTGGCCAAAATGTCAATAGTATCAAGAAACTCTGCAAACCACTTTTGACACATTTGATCACAGCACCTTCTCCATACACCACACAAATCTTTTTTCTTGCATTTCAGTTGTGTTTTTACTTTTCTTGAAATAATAAAGCATAATATGTCAAAAATGTTGCATATTTTCTTCCATCTTCAATATTAAAATGGCTACAAAAAAATGAATCAATTTTGGTTACACTTTTTTTAAATGCACACTGATATGACATTTGTCACACTATAAACTGACAAAACTGTTTTCAATGAAATTAAAAACAACTAAGTACTAACAAACTTTTTGGCCAACCCAATAGTGGAATACTATTTATATCCTGGAGAAAATGTGGGCCAGTAGGCGTTGAAAAGCTGGGAAAAGCTTTGCATTTTAAGAATAAGGTTAAGAAAATAGTTTAAATGACTAAGGCAAGAATCTGAAATAATATTTAAGGCATAACTGTATTTGCAAAAATTATACTTTTGCTCTAGTCAGGTCCAATTTAACATTACTTTGGTTGATACATGTAAGATAAATCATTCTGGAAATTTTGTTAATTATATACAATAAAACATATTTTGGCAAATATGTTAGAAAAAGGCTTTCATCTTCTCTCACACCTGAACAATTCTGAATTACTTTAACCTCCAAACTTAATTTGATTTAGGTGGAAATCAAAGACGTCTAAAACAAGAAAACAAGTAACTGATGTGAGCCTGTTCATTTTAGGACAGATCACCCACACTCCCCACCAGCACCGTTAATTTACACCAGTGCCCACCCTCTCTTCTCAAAAATTCTCTACCAGTTTTCTTGAGAAGAAGCAGTCAAAGTAGTCAATAAAATAAAATATGCTGGGCTGGAAAAACCTAAACCAAACATCTTTTAATCTTCTGACAGTTATCTAAAATCGTATAATAATAATAATAGATGCATGCTGGCTACTTACGTGAAAACACTTACTTTTAAAAATAACATGTCCATTTTGTGGGATTTAACCTACTTTGCAATAAAAATAGCTTACAGGTTCCCATTTCCAGAAAGTTATCAGACATAATACACAGATCAACATCTCTGGAGGGAAATTAGAATTCAGTAAAGCATATTTAACACAAATTACACTGATTAGATTTTTATTCCAGGGCAATTAAGAAAGCCCTATCTTTATCATGAAGATCAACTATCATTGCATGTCTGGGAGTCTGACTTATCTTATAGAGGCAAATGTGTTGCCTATGAGAAATAAGGAAGTGGAACTAGTCATTCTACCCCATTTAACGTATGACTTCCTTTGTCTGAGAAAATAAAAACTGTAACTGGAAAGGCCAACAAGATCATAACTTATGGCAGTGAACATTTAGTACTTATGGAAAAGTCTAAATCAATACCCCCAAGTAAAGACAGTGAAATGCTAAATCCCTGTCAGTACTATATAGGGGACACGGTACACGCATCTTGCTGCCGGGATGGAAAGCGTTATGACTCAGCTAGCTATCACATCTCTGTAAGGATCTGTTAAGTGAGCATTTCAGGAAGCCTGACTTCAAACACACAATCCAGTTAGAGCTAGCTTATGGAGGAGAGACCAATAGAGCATTCAAACATGTTTCCAGGTCAGCTCTGCTGCTGGCTCAGCTGCGTGGGCTGGGGCACATGGTGGCTGGGAGGAGAGGGGGCCGACTCCTGTGTCAGCTGCAGGTGCTGAGCCGGATGTGCAGCACTTGTTAAATGGAGCTCCCCTGTTTGCTCCTGATGGGCGTGTAGATGCTCCAGGGTTTCCTTGGAGAGGGCAATTACGTGCATTGGTTCACTCTGCGAAGGTTCCATCTGGCTTTCAATCACATTGAGGCTCTGAATGTGTTCTGTTTGCTCCTGTTGAGCTGAAAGAATTAAATTCTGCAGTTGTTCTGGCTGTTGTGTGAGCAGCGTGAGATTAGCAGCCTGGTCCGTGGTCATGTTCTGGGAGCTCTCTGCAGCAACGATGCTGATTCCTTGGCTAGGACCAGGCATGAAATTGATGTTATGTACAGAATCGGTTACCAGAAGCTGGATTTCCTGCTCTCCAGAGGTAGAGAGCTGATATGGCTGCAGCTGAAGAATATTCCTGACCTCTTCAGTATTATTATTGCTGGAAACACTGCTGGTATCTGCTGCATGTTTCTCTTTGCTATGGATTTTCAAGTGAGCCTTCAAGTTGTCTAAGCGAGCAAACTGTAAGTTACACTCAGGGCAGGAGAAAGGCTTTTTCCCCGTGTGTAGAATGCAGTGTCTCCTCTTGGCACTGGAGTCAGAGAAGGATTTCCCACATATGCCACAGGAGTATGGCTTTTCTCCTCTATAAGGAAACATGTTTTATATTAAAAACAGAAAGATCTAGTATTACTTCCTGAAACACAGGGAGAAGCAGTCAAGAATAAAGGAAAACTACACTGACAGTCATAAGTCACGGGTTCACCTAATATCATAAGGACGTGAAGCAAGTCACAACTTCCATGGGTTTCAGTTTCTAATCTTTAAAAAAAAAGGTGGACGTGGTGTCTGAGCTAGGACAGTGGATGGGGTTGGGCCAGGTTTGATAAAAATTTATGACCCCACAGTATCTATTTCAGATAAGAAAGTATTTACATATTATACATATAGTTCTTTTTTGTTTTGTTTTAGTTTTCGCAGCCAATTTTTTTATTCTAATGGCCAAGTAAGTACATACAACTAATTGCACCATTAAAATGAGGAGCCCCTAGTTATCTGTGATGCTGTTAGAAGACCTACGAAATTCAATCTAGAAGTAAGTTTTGTGAACAAAAACATTCATTTGGGAAACATTTAATACTTATTTTGATTGACGATTTAAGCTTTGGACCAGCCCCCTGACCAAATCAAAATTTAAGAAATAAAATCAATAATGCAAACTTTTACTGGCTAGCATCAGTTTTCCTGATTTTGCATAACTGAGGAATTTCTTTATTAAAAAGATTTTTAAAAATTCTAAAAACAGACAATTCTACCAGAGTAATAATCTGGGGAAAAGAACTACATAGGTACTATGTGTCACCCCACTGAACCCTGGGGCTGAACGAGGGCTTCACGTGCGAGACAGATCTGCAGAACTTTACCGATGGATTCTGATGTGGGTCTGAAGAGAGCTCTTTGCTGTGAAAGATTTGCCACAGATTTCACATGTAAATGGCTTCTCACCTAAAAAAGGAAGAACATTTAGGATTATACATTCAACCTGAAACAAAAAGCAAAGTCACCATACAGTTTCACAATATTAAAAAAAAAGAATAAAGGCAATACCATTTAAATCCTCAATAAGCACAAACGCATTAAGCACTTACCAAGCACCTACTATATGCTAGGTGCCAAGAAGATGCAGAGAAAAGGTAGGTACGGTTTCTTCCCTTAAACTTAAAAACTGAAACGAAGCAAGTGATTATCCGTAGGAAACAAAGGAGCGCAACACATTCACTCCTGTATCATTCACCCTTGGATAACTTACAATCTCATATCTTACTGCTGGTTAGGCGGCCCTCTTGACCTTCATAAGGACACTTGTGCACTAAGGTGACTTTCGTATTATTTGCATTTATATCTGCCTTCCACATGTATCCTAGCATGTATCCCTATCACTCACCTGAAGCCTCTGCTCAAATGTCACTTTACCAGGAGGCTTGTCACCAATGAAAGCACTACCCCACCCCCAACACTCCTAGTCCACTTCCCAAGTTAGTTTTTGCATAATGCTATCATGTTATTATCTATCCCCTCCCCCTCTTACAGAGGATAATTTATGGGCATATTCACTCCTAGCACGCCAATCTGGAAATCCTTGTTGAATGAATTAATTTCACAAGATGGGGACTAAGACTCATATAATATGTGACTGCTCCAGACACTGCTAAGAATTAGTAAAACTTTGACAGCATTTATTCAGCGTTAGTTTGTACACTGCACATACAGTGACAGACTGTCATATCCCCCAGGAAAAAAAAAATTAATGCAGGCAAGGGGACTGTAAGTTAAAAAAAAGAAAAGAAAGAAGTAAAATCCAACTTAACTAGGTATCAGTAAGGGGGGAGTAAAATCTGAAGTAGAAGACGGTCAAGATAGCTGCCCTCTCACCAGTGACTGGAAGCCCCATGTAGACAGAGGACCCTCGTGGCCACTTGGATGAGTTTGCATCTTTGCATCAGTAACTCTTAACCACTCCAAAGGTTAAAGCCAGGCCACTGCTGGCCCTGCCTGGGTGGCTTGGATGGCTGGAGTATCATCCCATGCACCAAAAGGTTGTGGGTTTAATCCCCAGTCAGGGCACGTATAGGAGGCAACTAATTGATGATTGTTTCTCTCTCCCCCTCTCCTTTTCTCTCTTTTTAAAAATCAGTAAATATATTCTCATGTGAGAATTTAAAAAAAAAAAACAACCAACAAAACAGGCCATTGCCACTATCTATCTCTTCACAACTTTCCAAATCAGAGTGGGTAACGGCTCTGTTCTCAGTTCATTTTCTCCCTTTCCACATTCAAAGGCCGAGGACCTGCTCTGTGTGCTTGTCGTTCAGTTCCCTGCAGACTTAAAACATCTCCCAAAGTCTTTCTCTTGGAAAATGTTTTAAATGATAGAAGTTCTTTCCAGGAACATCCTTCAGGTGGGGCTCTTTAAGGGAGTGAGCAGGACAGTAAGAACACAAGTTTTTCTAGCCAAGGTGAATCTGAGGAAAGTTTTCCTACTGTTCTGGTTTATGATTTGTGCTGGTAACACAGTCATACAGTTTCACTGCCTTCAGCTGAGTGACCTATCCCTTGTTAGGTTTATTCAGTTCTAAACAATGACAGACCATCAGACTTCCAGCCAAGATGGGGGTGTAGACAGATATACTTTGCCTCCTTGCACAACCAAAAGGACAACAAAAAATTTAAAAATAAAAACCAACCAGAACTGCCAGGAAATTGAACTGTATGGAAGTCCGACAACCAAGGAGTTAAAGAAAAAACTATCATCCAGACTGCGCCACAATGCAGCGACCTGGGCTGCCCCACCCTGGTGAATACCTAAGGCTCCACCTCCTTACACTGTAACAGGTGCAGTGAGTCAAAGAAATATGGCCCAAATGAAAGAACAGATCAAAACTCCAAAAAAAGAACTAAGCGATGAACAGATAGCCAACCTATCAGATGCAGAGTTCAAAACACTGGTCATCAGAATGCTCACAGAAATTGTTGAGTATGGTTGCAAACTAGAGAAAAAAGTGAAAGCTATGCAAAGTGAGACAAAGAAAAATATACGGGGAACCAATGAAGGGAAGGAAGCCGGGACTCAAATCAACTGTTGGGAGCAGAAGGAACAGATAAACATTCAACCAGAACAGAATGAAGAAACAAGAATTCAAAAAAATGAGGAGAGGCTTGGGAACCTCTGGGACAACTTCAAACTTTCCAACATCCGAATCATAGAGGTGCCAGAAGGAGAAGAGGAAGAGCAAGAAACTGAAAACTTATTTGATCAAATAATGGAGAACTTCCCCAATCTGGCAAAAGAAATAGACTTCCAGGAAGTCCAGGAAGCTCAAAGAGTTCCAAAGAAGTTGGACCCAAGGAAGCACACAACAAGGTACATCATAATTACATTACCTAAGACTATAGATAAGGAGGGAATCTTAAAAGCAGCAAGAGAAAAGGAGACAGTTACCTACAAAGGAGTTCCCATAAAACTATTAGCTGATTTCTCAAAAGAAACTTTGCAGGCAATAAAGGACTGGCAAGAAGTTTTCAAAGTCATGAAAGGCAAGGACCTACATCCAAAATTACTCTATCCAGCAAAGCTATCATTTAGAATGCTTCCCAGATAAGGTCAAGATAAGGGAGTTCATCACCAAGCCCTTAGTATATGAAATGTTAAAGGGGCTTATCTAAAAAAAAAAAAAATTCAAAACTATGAACAAATGACAACAAACTCACCGCTATCAACAACTGAACCTAAATAAAAACAAAAACAAACTAAGCAAACAACTAGGACAGGAACAGAATCACAGAAATGGAGATCACATGGAGGGTTATGAGTGGGGAGAGGAGGGGGGAGAATGGAGGAAAAGGTACAGGGAATAAGAAGCATAAACGGTAGGTACAAAATAGACAGGGGGAGGTTAAGTACAGTATAGGAAATGGAGAAGCCAAACAACTTATATGTATGACCCGTGACATGAACTAAGGGGGCAAGAATGCTGCTGGGAGGGGACCGCAGGGAGGAGGGGGAAAAAGGGGAGAAAAAAAATGGTACAACTGTAATAGCATAGCCAATAAAATATACTGTAAAAAAAACGACAGACCATCTAACAGAAAATAAATAAAAGAACATGATTACTGCTTCAAAGAGAATATACAGTCTATCTGAGAAGATAGGAGACACATAGTAATCAAGTAACATATGGTTGTACTGGACTAAACAGTCAAGTGAGTAGTATCAACAATACTGAATGCAGACAAGATGATGGATATAGAGCAGGGTCTGGCTGGAGCAGAAAGAAGCCTGGGGACTAGTTCAGGGACTAGGATAAATAGCAAGATCAAAAGGAAGTGCTGAAAACGACCCCATGGTGTGGACAAGGAAGGATGAGGATTTACTCTGAGGTGTGGTGGAGCTAACAGGTGAAGCCAGGCCGCAAAGAGCCGTACATTCCTGGCGAAGGACCTGCTGGAAGTTTCTGGCAGAACAACATGACAAAAGTACTAAGAAAAAAAACACATGGGAATCATGGTGAGGCCTGGACCAGGAAGGACGGAAGGCAGATGGAGTGGAATTAAAAAAGGCTACGTGACAAAGCTGGGTGGCAGGAGGAAGCTGGCTATAGGAGAAGACGGCAGCGGTGAAAGGATGGGGAAGAGACAGAGGGTGATGCTCACGAGCCCACCCGGAGGGACGCCACAGAGAGAGGGAAGGGTTTCCTTCTGGGAAGACGGCCTTCTCAGCAGAATCCACCGCTGACCCCACCCCCGGCGACTTGTAAATGCCCATCCCAGCTCCAGACGGTGCCCACTACGCAGGGCTCAGGGCCGTCACAGCTCATTCCCCTCCACCACTGTTCCTACTGGGGGCACCTTTTTTGTAACAGCAGCACCATCCAGGCCCTGCCCCAGCCAGGCCCTGCAGTCAGCCGCACGACACCTCCAGTCCCGTGTTCGCATCCAACTGGCAATCCAGTTTTACACATTTTAACACCCAAAGAAAAGTGTTGTTTTTCTTATGGATCACCCATGTTCAGTGTACAAAAAGATTCAAATAATATTGAGAGAAGTGTGTAGCCTTTCTCATAATAGGAGTTCCCACCAGAAATAACTTTTTATGGCCTATCTACAAGGCAGGGCAAACTTCTAATTACTGAACACTTGTTCTTCCTACCACCTGGCACGGGACTTTCCTCCTCTCTGAAGCCCTAAGGCCCTGACCACATCCTTAGCTGAGAATGTCATTATTACCGCAGTTTCCCTTTCTGTCGCTGACTCTCATGTTATCTGGGCTTCCTACAGGTAAGAATGTACCTAAATTGGGTCATCCTCTCTTGTAAATCTCTCTCATGTCTATCTGACTGTTAGGCCAGAAGAACTAGAATGGTAGAGGAGAGTTCTTCTTTCCCCACAGTTGGTGCTGTGGGCAGGTCACTTCGCTGCCTGGCCACTGCTCATCCTGAGGCTGCTGCAGTAGGAAGATCCTGGGACCCCTAGCACGAGCCAGGACAGGTAAGGATTCTTGCCAAGTCAGACTCCCAGATCTCCACCTGCAGAGTGGTGAGTCTTTTTTTCCTTTTTTAAAGCTAGGAGAAATTTATGGAATTAGATCCTCAAGCTCCGTGACTGACTTCTGATTATTTGGTATGGTACTCTTGGTTTTTATTGACCCATTCCTCTCAGAGATGTTCACTGTTTAGTCTACTGTCATTTGTCTCGTTCTATGTTTTGAGAGCTTAGTTTTGACCTCCTCTTTGCTCTCTGTTATCCAGACAGTGCACTTACTGGCATGCATTTGGCAGCCAAATAGCCTGGGGATCCCTGGCAGCTTTATCCGTCTGTCTGGTTCTCCAATCTTGCCAGCTCTCGGGAATTTCATGAGGGGTCCCAGTCCTTAAGGGGCCTTAGCCATCTTAATCTTCATAACTTGACTGCCTGTAGCAACAATGCGCTTCTTATTTAGAGTGCCCTGG